ATGGGTATTAAAGAGGGCACGTTCTGCATGGAGCACTGGGTGTTATGCACAAACAATGAATCATGGAACCCTACATCTAAAACTAATGATGTATGGTGATTAACATAACATAATAAAATAAAAAAATAAATAAAATAAACATTTTATGGAAACACAGAATATTTCACATGGTGAAGTGTTTGGTGTAAGATGCAGTATTGGGCACAACCTAAGTTGATGTGACCTGATGAAATGGGACATATGTAGAGCGTGGTGCTAGGGAGGAGAGTTATAAAAAGCAGCACAGGGGATCAGCGGCTCCAGCTAACCCCCTGGGCCTTGGGTAGCATTTGCTCTAGTAAATACCTGGCATCGTGCACTGCTGAAATAAAACCAAGTTTTTTCCCTTCTGTTCTATGAAGGCCTTTCCATTCTAGAACCATGAAGAATATAATGTTCCCCAGACCTAGATCCAGAGGCAATTCTTCTATCTCTCATTCCCAGTGTAGCATATTATAAGCTCTGAAACACCCTGACAATTGTTTTGGATTGGGTAGAGTTTGTCCTGTTGCAGGTTGGTTTAGATTTTTCCTTCATTGTGGGTGTTCTATGGAATCAGAGGAAAGATCCTTGGTGTAGGAGAACTGGGCATGTCATTTTAGAGAAACACAGCTCTTGGCAGATTTGAGCTACAGGAATCTAATTATTTGCCTGGAAGGATTTTCAATGAGCCAGACACTGTGCTGGGCCTGGAGATCCAGAACTGAGTAAGATACAGTCCTGCCCTGGAAGGGCTCCAGTCTAACAAGGCAGGCAGAGATAAGATAAATTAAGTAATAGGAATAAATGACAAACAAGGAAAAGAAAAGTGGCTCTAACTTTGCAAATGAATATGTGACTCAAATATTGTTAGAATTTGGGGGCTGGCACCTACATATCTGTTTACTTGAGTCACTGAACTCAATTTAACTAGAAGGCAAGGAGTAATTAGTGCTAATAAATGCCCAGCTGCAGGTCTGATTCAAGTTTAAGGCCAAGCAGGTGACAGTTTCTGATGTTTTAAAGGTGCTGGAAAGATTCCTGCTGATGTTGCATTAGGGAGGATTTTCCCTCTACTCTCAGGTTTACAATGCAAATACCCCTAGAAGAGGGAATCCATTGACTTAAATTCATACTAAGATGTAAGGAGCTGATATGAAATTTTCATTTTGACAGTACATTTGAGGCCTATGAAGAATAGTGAGAATGAGCAAGTTGGATGCCTGAGACGAGAAATCAGGATGAAGAGGGTTAAGAAAGATACAAGGAAGGGATACAACAGAAGTACCAAAGATAAATTCATGAATTGTCTCTACCTTACATATTTAAATAACTACTTAAACATTGGTCCACATTAAAAAAATTATGTTCTTTGTGACGTTTTATATATGCATTTTCTGAAACCTAAAACAAACAGATGATAGCATTTCATCCACAAACAATTCCATGCTTCCTTAGCTTTGTAGGAGCAGAAGTAAAATTAACTCCACATGGAAACCAAAGCCTAAGGCTTTGATGGCCGAACAGAATACAAAGAGAACTATGCAGTCCATTGATTTCATAACAAGCAAGATCACACTTTCCAAGAAGTTTCTTAAAAGGCAGCAGTTTAAAAAAGAGGGGACAGTAGACCAGAACTCCACAAGTGTCCTGCAGATCCAAACACCTGGGGTACTTTAGTAAAATTCAAACAAATCTTTTAAATAGGAGCCAAAGGTGTTAGCTCATTGTTGGAAAATTTCTATCCAGTGTGGCAGGACACAAGTCTTTGCTGATGAAAAAGTGTCAAATCTATTTTTGTCCACTTCTCTTCTGATTTCTTCTGTGATATTCTCTTCTCTAATACATTTGATCTTACTCTTTGTTTTCTTTTTAAGTTTTTTGTTGACCCACTCCATTAAGTATTGATCATCCCTGACCAAAATATAAACAAGGACACACATCTTGCTTTGTATATGTCCTTCAGAGACAGTCAAATTCTAAACTCATGTTACTTAAAAAGGCCTGAATCCATAGTGGAATAGTGAGGTGAGCCTTGAGTATTGTACATATTATTGCTCAAACAATATTTGTTGAATTGAATATAATGGATTGAAGTAAAAGTCGGGGCACCGTGGCATATGGTGTATAATATGAAAGAAAAAAGGAGAAGGTATTTTTGGAGAAGGTATTTTTGTCTCACTCGTCCACAATGTCTTTGCTAATAATTTGTTTTCTTTCTTTACTTTCCATTGCTTCTGAGAATTTTATGCCAGCATTCTGACTTTTATAGAAGCATAGGATTATTTTTTTTTTAATTTGAAGGTATTATGTTGCAAAGTATCTAATCCAACACCCTTGTTTTACCAATGAGGAAGTGACTTCTTTCATCAAGTTAGGTGAGGTAAAATAATGGAGCCCATAGATAGGAAAGGTAGGTCAAGAATCAAACTCTTGACTTCTATTTCAATGCTATCGTCTCCTACCCCACATTAATTCTTCATTTGCTCCAACTCAAGTCCAAAGACACAAACAAATACAATTCCAAAGGCATGTCATTTTGGAACCAACCTTTTTGGAACTCATTTTTCAAAGAACTATTGGAGGAAGAAGATAAGATTTAAGATGAGAACATAAAGTATCTTCAAATTTTGCAAATGTCTGAAAAGACTGTTTAAATTCAAGGTGCAACAGTTGACTTTCAGTTCAAGGTGCAACAATGTCAAGATCGATTTGATAGTTTTACATAGCATATGTCACTAACATAGCATATCTACTTTCTGAAAAATTTTACTATCCCAGGGATGAAAG